AATATCGTTTCCATGTTATCCCGTTTAAAGTACCTTTTATAGGTATCTACAGTAGTTAATGTATACATTAATAACAATTTAGCGATTACAAAAAGGGGGTATACTTTCACAACTACATTATAGATACTTATATTCTTCATTAGCAGAACTTCCGCCATTGTACGTTCCTACGCGCAAGAATCGGTTAATGTTCGTTATGTTAACGCAATTCGCAAGAGTTTGTCGTGTTTCGAATTGGGAAGCACTCTAACGCACATGTAGTAGGTATAATACAAGAAATTATTATTCAACTTATTAAAAAGAACGTAATAAACAAATTATTCTTGCATAGAAGCTTATTAATGAAAGAAAAGTGTTTAATTATTCAACGAAATGGGTATCAGCACGGTTAACGGTAGACTTTCATATGATCATGTTAACTGGCCATATAATTAACATCACAGTTTAAATGCAAGATGCTACATTAAGATATGCACTAGATAGACTGCAAAAAATAACTTCAAATCTTAACTGCCCAACGTAAATTCAGGTCAGGACGGCGTTCGCTTTCCTCATTAAGCCCCCGTATGGTTAGATAAACTCAACTAATCCGCTAAGAACAGGATCTTTTCGTGAAAACCGTACACTAAAGAATCTGATAATTAAAGCAGATATAATAAATAAATTAATGCGTGGATTAATTAGTTTCTTCTTATCAGTTTAAAGATTTATTATGATAATGGATTTTAAATGATAATAAAATAAGAAAAGCGTTTAATGTATATGAGGAAACGTTCGTTTATTATAGGAAATTTAAATAACCGTGTTAATTATACGTGTTTACCTACTAAGTTGCTATACAAATCTTGTATATGAGACAATTCAGTTAAAAATTGAAGTAATAACTTGATAGTATAAGAGTTATTTTCACTTATTATTAATTGTAGTTTTGGAAGGGCGTTAGTTCAGATAGCGAAACGGCGATCAGGAAGCATCGAAAACATCAATTTGGGGACCGTCGCCCGTCGAAAATTAAACAAATATAATTATACGGTTAGAAAATTTGAACTAGCGAAAATTACAAAGAAGAAAGCAATTGTAAGAGAAAACAGGAAGAACATCGTAAGTTTTTAACGACTTCGCCGCCGCGCCACCTGGCGAGTTCAGGAACCGAAACGAAATTATTCCTCCAGTAGGTCGTCGTTGAGGGAAAACGCTTTCAGTCCGTTCACAAGGGTTGGAGCAGTTAAAAACTTTCACAGGAGCTAATGCGTTTTTCCATTATTAATTTGATGCGCTATTAAAATTACGCAACTTATATCGGTTTGCGTCCGATGCAAATGCGAGTGTAGGCCATTAAAAGAAACATCTCAAACACCTCTCTAGCGCTCCCGTAATGATACACTTATTTGGATCGGCGAGGAGAATAAAGTCTCGTTAACTTCTCTCGATGGTCGCAATAAAACATTCGCATCCAAAATTGGTTGATACGGTGGGAAAGTTTCTCTCGCCCGGCGTTTTATATAACTAAAGAATCGTCGCCCACCGGTGTCTTACGATTGAAGTTATCTGATTTCAGTTATCATCGGTAGTAGTGCAAGCTCGTTTACCGATTGTCCTTCTATATTTATGCCTTCGTATTGTTTTGCCCGTTTGATAAAAATATTACTTTATAGGTTAGAAGGTCGAAAAACGACGGATATCTGAAGATCTGGATCTCGCGAATGCGATAGGCATATCTGAAAATGGGCCGGTTATTGAATAAATTATTGCAGCGGCGCGAAATTCGCAACGATTCCTCTCGTTCGATTGTTGATTGTTGCTTCCAATCGTGATTGCGGCTTTCAATACCGCGTTAAGAATCGGGCAAATCGATTTTCATTTGCAATAGAACCGTTTGTATTAAAAGCTGTATGACCTCCGGTCAGAAATTATTTGATTACAGACCGATTTCAATTCTAACATGCGATAATTTCGCTATTGCCATTCCGATCGCACACCAGCCAGTTTATACATAGAAATGAAACTTATTTCAATATTATATTAGAGAATTCTTGAAATGCACCATAAGCTCCTACAAACTCATAAAATTAACTATTCTCGCCTAAGATTTTTTAATAAAAAACACATAACCCAAATGTGTGTTTATAATGGAAGCATTTTTGTTGGAAATACCAGCATAGAAACAATAGTCTTGCTCACGGAGCGTAAATTTTTGCAGCTGCCCAGTACTTCTTGAAGAACCAACTGTCTTAGGTCATCCTTGGATAACCACCCTTCGAATCCACGTCTAGTAATAATAATAATTCTTTGGAAGGAAAAAAACGCGATTTCCTAACAACATTATAAGTTATTTTATTATTCCAACCTACAACGAAGCAAGCTTGCAAAAAAACCTTCATTAAACTTTTATATCTTCATAGGAAATGCCTAATTTCCAAAATATTTAATGGAGTTGCTGAAATATTCAACAACAGTACCATTATCCAAAAAAATGTTTAATAAAATGAAATTTATCAACTAATTTTCGCTAATAAATTCCAGTTGGAAACGTCTAATAACCTACGATGCAAACCTCTGCGGTGCTGGTGCGAAAATGAGCCGAAGTGGACTCGATAAATTCCGAATATGGTTTCCTTACCTGCAGTTAAAATGAAAACTGAACGCATTATCGCAATTTATATGACAGCCCTAAGAATTTACCCTTTGACTCCTGTCTTTTCAATAAGATTAAACCGTGCGCGCGAGAGTGTGAGCTATAGCGCCGCAGCGCGGACAGCCCGTACGATTTTCAGTAAACCGCTTACAAGCACTTACTTCGTCGTACATAAATACGCAGAAAACCAATAGTTCTAAATCTGATCCCATCAGGTGGTAAAGACGAAAGCAATGAAATATATCTAGTTAAAATTATCTACGGATGCCCATGAGACCGCCACTGAGCGCCGTCCACAAAGAATGGCAGTAACGAATACCCTCTCGCGGTTATAAACTGCAAATAATTGTTCGAGATAAGATAGAGTGTCTGTGAAGATGCCACTGTGTGATTTACATAACGATTCTTGATTCTGGACCAATGCCGATTGATCTTATTTACACACCAAACTATTGTACTATATTACTATTTCAACCTTCAATTAAAATTAAACAGTGTTTCGGTAACCTATAACTGGAGGATAAATAATTCAGATAAGATAACGTGCGAAAGCAGAGTCCGAGTATCAACACTGAAAGAGTCAAGATCAATTGATTTTATCTGTTGAATAGTTAGCTTCGATTTACGAGAGCTCATTGTCAACCAATAGCAACCTAATTTTGAGAACAACGTCACCGACATCACCGTCTATTAATAAATACTTGGCTGTCCAGTCGAGGAAAATAAATAACCAGGTAATCTGCTCATTATGCAGAATGTGAGCCGGTATCTCCGGCGTTGTTCCCCAAACCGTAATTCACGTTGATAATTTGATGTGATCGCAGTACGTCAAAATGATGCACCATCCACAGGAAATGAAGAGATTTTAATAAAGCGAATGCAGCTCGTGAAAACGGCTCGATGCGAAAAAATTAATTACGCCAATTCTCACGCTGTTACGCTTCCTTATGGGCGAAATTAATAATGTGTACCGGCGACGTTGACACCTGTACCAGCTCTCCAACGAGAGCAGTTATATTCGCATTCAAGTTTAAATGTCTAAAAACTACATGACGGTTAAACGGGCGCGAAACCCTTTAAATTCGGTTAGCACGTGGCGATCGTGTCATTAACTTTCCTTGAGGTTTCACCTGTGACATTCCACCTGATGCACCCGATCGACTAGAACCGTTAATATCATGCACTTCCCGGCACATGCACAGCCGAGAAACTCCACCGTGTGTTTATGCGGAGCCTCGCCAGCTCTAATGCCCTGGTAAACAGGTAGTTCGACTTTTTTTTTGCTTTAATTACCGGACGAAAACTAGTTACGAGGCCCTAATTTAGTGCGAGTACGCGCGGGAAATTCCACCCTTTTTTAATTTACATTGAAACGGGCAAAGCAAATGTTAATATTTACATAAATAACATAATTAAGTTAATACACGTTAATTGATTAGCGTGGAAGAATTGGAAATATTTTATTATTGGTTTAAATTTTGAATTCTCTTTAGAAATGATAGTTCTGTAAATTTTGTTTGAATACTTATTGCAGTGCGTAACTATATCTGTTATTTTCTGATAATGATTTTATTAGTTTGGGATCCTCCTTTCACTTCTACTTTTCACTAATCTCATTTCAGAAGTTTTTATAAAAGAGTATCAATCAAAGTCCTTTTGAGAAGTTCAGAATAAGTTGAATGTATTAGAACAATTAATGAACAAAATTTTGTTTCGAACAGGAACAAAAATAATGAAAGAAATAAAAATGAAAATTTTGCACTTTTAAAAGAAGTTATTAAAACAATGATAGTGAAAATGTAATCGACAATTTAATACAGTTGAATAAAATCCGTTAAACGAAAAAAATTTATGACACAAAGTATTTTTTCTGCTGTGGCGTAATATTAACGACCCCAACGCACAAAATTTCTTTTTGTTAAATAAGGACATGTGGCATGCAAGGGGTGGTTTCTTGGCGGGATCTTTAACTATTTAACCGAATACCGCGGAAGAGGTGACTACTACTGCTATCAGATGTTAAGACGGTAAAAATGCTATGTAACCGACGCTCCGTCTGCCGCGGATGTCATTAACATGGGAATTAATCGAATATGTAATGACGAGTGCATAAAAACGGGGAGAAATACGTAATTATTAGAGGTCGTATGTTATAAGAAACAACGAATTCACTGTATACAGATTTTATTTTTTACAAACCTTCGTATAAAATTACCTAAACCACACCATATCCTTTAAAATTACACAATTAAAAATTACATTTAAAATACTTTTTCGCAACGTCTTCCTGTAATATTTGAACTAAAAAAATCTCGATCGCGGTAAATCGCTTCATTTACCTGTTGAGCGTATTAAACCGAGTTTTTCACACAGAAGACTCCGTGAAGACGAATTCCTTGGACGTCAACGCCAATATTTCTTCGCAAACTTTCTTGTAACACCAGGCATCGCCCCGCAAACGCTTCCTTCGTATGCCCACGAAATTATCCAGGCCTTTCGAATTTTTCACAGGCGTATTTCCCATCCCCTTTTTCAGTATGGACTTGGACGGGGTGTTCGTTTGGGGCAGCTGATGGATATCGGGAATAAGGCAAATTTCCAATTCGAACGAACATTCCCCGAGATTTTTGTTTGCATTCGGCTCCAATTTACCCCTTAGCGTAAAACTAAAAAACGAATTCACTATACCGTACGTCCCAAAATAACGTGCTGCTAATTACTAAACAGGAGTAAGATTATCTTGATATCATCCCTTAGTTAACCAATAATTTCTTTGGTAAGAGGATAATGGTTACTTTTCGCGTGATGGTATATTCGTACATCGCTTAAGATTCAAGAAGCGCCACCACTTAATTGCTCTTTCGTGAACGTGTTTTCGTACGAAAAACAAGAGCGTTAATTAAAGGAGATGAGTATAATTCGACTAATTCCAATTATTGTTAATTATAAAGGGAAAAAATAATTTTCCATTATAATTGAATGTAATCTCTCTGTTTGCACCAGTTTAAAGTGCTTCATATTATGCAACATTTTCTCGAATTAATTGCTGCATATCTAAAAATTTCCAGGATTTCCATGGTGTCGAACCTTATCCGGGACACAGTGTATAGAGGTGCAACGAAATGAGAAAACCGTCATTTCCTTACATGCAAATTCGAACGAGATCGTCCGTCTGAATTTTTTTCAGTTCAATCTCGCAGTCCCATCCGCCCGTCGTACGGCAAGAATAAATCGCAACTTTAAAATATGCAAACCGAACTACGGGCTAATACTCGTTTAGTTGTTAAACAACGGCTACAAGATGCGTTCCCATGCATAAATTACTCCCGGTTTGGCCTTACTAAACTGCTGTCTATTCGGAAATTTAACGTAACATTCCGTTTATTTCGTCTTCGATCCGAACGGCATTTGCATTCTGGCGGGCTTTCAAACGAAATTGATGATTTTCGGATTTGTACTAATCTACCTGTAAATTATCACGAGTAGCGCGACGAGCTTTTTTACTGCCGTTTTATTGCATATTAAAATATGACTCCGATCGTGCGATGGAAAATCCTTAATACTTTTTGCACCGACGCCGGCCGGCGAGAGCGCTAAAAACTCGGCGGTTTTCGCGAGAAAGGAATAAATCGCGGCCGAGAAGTATCCTATTACGAGCACGTCGAGCGAGATGTAAAAATCCCCTAGCCTTAACGTATTATTTGATTAACTGCGCAACGTCTTATTCAACAAATAACTAATTACGTGCTATGTTGATTAGCAAATGAGTAATGCGTTGTTTGAGCCTCTTTAAATGTTCGTATGCTAATAGCTCGTTGAAATATCGGTTATCGAGGGCCGTAAATTACTGAGCGCGTTGCAAAAAAAATGTTTTGCTGGCATTCTAGAGGAAAACCGTAGCCTCCGGATCCTCGTAATGTGTATCATTTCAAAATGAGCAATGCAGAATGCGCCCCGGCAAACGAAAAGAAAAATATGTTATGAGCATTATTAGTGGAGTCCGATTTTGCTGTTGCGAAATGGCAATTCTTAAGTGCTCTCTTTTGAATAATATGCGAATTTGCACAACGCCGTATTAGCAATAAATATTACAATTACTAGGTACTTGGATATATCCGATTGAATGTTATGTTTTTAACTAGATTTATGTTTTCGCAATAACCTGAAATCTGAATTAAAAAGCGACGTAACTCATTTTTACGGCGTCCGAAGAATTCGCTCGAGAAAAAAAAACACAAAGACATAAAACAAGCATTCGTCGGTTCGAGTTATCTTTGTTTTCGAAAAGGAAAAAAAACCGGCCGATTCAAATCTCTAAATGAGTCGTTATTCCTAATTAGCGATCAGTTAATGCATTCTTGAGATTTCGTCTTCCGATCCGCTGTCGATAAATCTCTTTCGCGTCCACCGAGCAACTCCAACAATGCAGTTTATCAATCTCGAAAACAGATATTGGAAATTTGCAAAAATGTCATAAATGATAATTATTACATGTAATTGCCGTTAACCTAGCTCCGGACGAACGCACTTTACCAAGTAATTAAAACAATAACGTATTCAATAACTTACCCTTTTCGCTTACAAGCGACCCCTTTCTTTTCCAAAGCTTTAGACAGCTCGATCATCACGAATTCCGGATCGCGACATTGCGTTGTGGAAACGTTAAACAACTCCTGCAAATTCAAATAAAATAGCACCTTCACCATTATCGAGAAATGAGAATAAATCATCAATGATTAGATCAATGAAGATGACTCTCGTGAAGACTCTAAAATTCGAGAAATAAAACAAACCTTGCTGGTAAGAAGGGACGGTCGACCCGAAATCGTTTCCTCCAGTTTCCTCGGCGTTAATACATTTACCACTTTATGAAACGATCGCTCGATCGTGCCTAAAACACGCCTCGCCGAACTCGGTGTTTCTACAGAACTCGCAATTTTCCTGCAATAAATTCATTTCCTATAAAGAAGGTTCATCTACGAGTTAAGCTTTTGATTTTTCGAAACCCCTCGAACACCTCGATGAAACATGAAAGATGAGGAGAGGAGTTCAATTTTTTATCTTCCAATTCTAATTCCAAGTGAATTGATAATTGTATCAGTAAAAATTTATTCAAAATATTTTAGTGCTCTTATAAAGAGAGCGATTGTGAGGGTAACGGTGGAATCGTCGGCACGACATTTGCGACAACCACCCCAAAATCGCGCATCCCATTTACACAAATCGAAACGGAGGCCCCGGCCGACCGACCGACCGCGGCGGCCAAACAAATCGCAAACGGCGCGGAAACCGATGTTTATGACGATCGCCGTTGGTAAACATGTCCGGGATAGTGAGTGCAGGTTGACCAAACCCTTTGTTTAGCACCGCGTTCGCTCATATACTCTCCATCTTTACTGCTTCAATTATCTCGGCTGAAGTTTCGGATTGCTTAATCGAACTAATCCTCGTTGTTTCGTTTTTTTCGGTTGTTCCGGTCGCGTATTCCGCGCGACGGGCCCGCGTTTCGATTATGTTACGGTTTATTTATTTATTGTTATTGTTAATTTAAAATGAAATGTATATCTGCATTTACTTACTTATCGACTGGTTGTGTCGGCGTCGCAGGACCGATCGAAATTTTCTTCGGCGGAACTGTAATAAAATGATTATCATTACAATACATACAAGGTGTCCCCTAGGGAATACACATAGGGAGCCTAAAATATGTTGTTTAACCCAACTGAACACAGCCAACTTTTGAATTATCGACGATTTTAGGTATCATTGATAGTCTACATGACTTTTTCATCAAAACGACAAAGAATTTCCTGATGAACCTTTTAAAATACACCAATTGATCTCCCCTAACACCAAATATTATTTTTTTTTATTAATAACTCCACTTTGAAGGCCTATAACTTCTTCGCCTAAAACAAAAAATCGCCCGAATTGGGTTTTTTTGTTGAATTTTAAGCGTCATTACCAAAACTGACGTCGTATAATAGAAGCAATAAAAGTAAATCGGGTCCTCGGAGGTGCCCATAATGGAGTCCGTTATAAGAAAAACAAATTGCCGCGTATCGTCAAGAACGCGAACATAAGGGGCCGCAGTATAAGGGAAGTTAAAACGGCGATATTTTAAAGGCGGCAGGACCGGAGGGTGAAATATTCGACCCCGGGGAACACTTGGCAGACTGCTTCGGCTGTATTTTCTAGCACTTTCTTATTAAAACACTTGTGTAAAGTCGAACTAATTTAAGAGTTTATAGTCGTAAAGAAGGAGGTAACAACCCTTGAAGAAAGTGGACACTGATGTACACATCTGCAGTCGCTAAGATTCCAACTAAAATTGTTTCAGCCAAAGTTTTAACTACCTGTTCCGTAACTGTTCAAGTCCAATTTCATTAAACACCATTAATTATTTTGTTTCTATTTAATTCAAATACAAGAAAGTGTGGCAACTAATATTATTAATTTCTTATATAATAAGTATGATTTTTTAATGACGATGTGGGTTCCAAATCTGTATAAATTATATGATACTTTTACATATTTTTGCTCATGGTATATAATATAAAAAGGCGTTGAAGTTGCTAGAATGTTGAAAAAACAACAGAATTTTACCGTGCAAAAATACAAAATATGTACCTGAATGTAGGCAACACAAATTACATGCATTCTACCATATTTAAATCTACAGAATACTTGTATACAGACCTGGAGAATTATCTTCTGGTCCTGGACTCCTGATTCTTTTAAACGGTTTTCTTATACTAGGAGGCTTAGGAGGTGTTACGAACTTTGCATTTACTCCACTATGCGCTTTTTTAGGTGTAACTTCCTCGAGAATTCTTTTCAAATCCCCATCTATTTTTTTAGGGATTACAGTTACGTTATTGCTTCGTAAAGCTGGTTTCCTTCTCAACACACAACCCTACAAAAATCGAACATACACAAATATTAAATACCAACAAAATGAGTTAAAAAACTCACTTCATCCTTCTCGACAGGTACTTTGACCAATAAATTGTTCAACTTAAGACTAGAACCTCGTTTTTTCTTAGCAACTAAAAGGAGATAAGTGGAAGTGCTGTAATCGTACTTCCATTTTTTCAAATGCTGCCATATTTTCCTACTTTCGACGTTGTAATGAGAAGCCATGACATCTATGCAATCGCGTTGGTAATTCTTATTGTTTCGCGGAAAATATTGTACGGGTTCTAATATCCCGAAGGTAATCCATTTGTGAGAGAGCATCTCTTGAATGGTGATTCGTTTCTTCGGATCCACTTGCAACATCGACCTGATCAGCTGCAGGCTTTCCGATGACAAAAATGACGGTTCCGGATATTTGCCGATCTAAAACAAATAAAAAATAATAACATCCTGTGTAAAATGTGGATAACTCGCAATGAAGTGTGAAAAATATGTCACTGTCAACTTGACCATATAAATGAAATTAAAAAATGTATGAAAAAACCAAAATTAATACTTCAATTTCTTTAAGCTGAACTGTAATGTGTACTTTTGGTCAGAAAGAATCCATTATAATCAGACCCGATGGCAACATCACAGTGTTCGGATTGTCCAATCATTTTCCCCTCGAAATGCCTAAGAAACTCGTTTCGATAACAGCTGCTGACGAATATCGACACACAATCACGAAATTAAACAGAATATTGAAAAAGAACATATTGTTAAACATGAAAGTCCTATTAATTAGCTGTCTGTGTTTGTGCTGTACATTAGGCATTTCCGTTTATCCGCCGTTAATGATTAGCAAGAGGACGAAAAATCGAATCAAAAACGTTCTCGAAGAAGAAAACGAAAGGCTCTATCACAATTTAGGTTTACATTGGAGCCTAGTGAAAAAGCCATTCAGTCCACTGCCCACCGTTGAATACGTATTACAAATAGAATTCTTCAGTAAACCGAATATATACTCTCCAGATTGATTTTATGTTTACTTTTTAGATAAGGTAAGCGCGCTCGATTTGTGGAAATGTACCCGATCTTACCAATATTTTCTTGTAGAGACTATCAATGTTGACATCATCGAAGGGCAATGCGCCCACGAGCAAAGCATACAGCAAGACGCCCATCGCCCAAACATCGACCTCCGTTCCCAAATACTGTTTGCCTTGTACCAGTTCGGGGGCCGCGTACGTCGGGGACCCGCAAGAAGTAAATAAAGGGTTCTCCATTCCTCCGGCCGGTTTTGCGCACAGACCGAAATCGATCAATTTCAAATTTTGGTGTTTATCCAGCAGAATATTTTCCTAAATATGTACATTAAATTAGTAATATTAAAGTTCTTGACAGTGCTCGTGTGATTTTGTGATTAACTTACAGGTTTGAGATCTCTGTGCGCATAGCCTATGCTATGTAAATATGCAACGGCTGATACGATTTGCCTAAAGAACGTTCTACTTTCAGTCTCTGTTAAACGATTCTTTTCGACTATGTGATCGAATAGTTCCCCTCCTGAGCAATATTCCATCACTAAAAATATGTGTGTTTCCGTTTCTATTACCTAAAAAATACGGTATAAATAAACAGTTCATTTATTTGTAGGGAGAAAACTTACTTCATATAATTTACATATATTATCGTGGCACAACGATTTTAAAGCCGAAATTTCCAATTTTACTCTTGATAAATCAGCACCCAACAAAGCCTTGTCCATTATTTTAATAGCCACTTTCTCCCCCGTGGCCAAATGGGTAGCTAACTTTACCTTTGCGAAGCCTCCGCATCCTATTGTCCTCTCTAGTTCATAGAAACCCTTTAATTCTAAAAACCTAACCATTATTATAATATAGCGAACTGTGCACTGGAGACAATTAAAATATTTCAAACATTCACAGATCTAAAAATGCTTGGATAATTTAAATTCGCACAACATAAATAATTAACATTTTTAACGTGTTTTTAATATTTGAAATTTCGAATGACACTAATGACAGTGACAAGTTGTCACTTCTTCTGTTTACAGCGTAAAACTCCAACTTCACATTGGTAATTTGGTTGCTGAGGTGGTCAATCAACAACTCAATTGTACTTTATTAGATTAATATTTCAACAGTAATTCGCACAGAAAGTAAACGTGCTGTTAATTATTTAGCGCGAGAGAATCTTCACAAGAATGACAAATGACAAATGATATCTTGCATCTTTCATTCCTCTTTTCATATTGTCTGTGACAGTGACTGGTAACTAGCCACTATAGTCACAATGTAAATCTCGATAGTAAAGAAAAAAGAAGAGTTGAGGTTATGTTATTTATTAGTGCTAGTAAAAATGATTAATACCCGCAGTATTTTCCAATTTTCTCGTATATCCACCAGTTTGTGTTGTAGATTATCTTCGAGTAAGGATACTTCAGTCGTTTCAAATGTGAGCGAATCTGAAATCGCTGTTCAAAAAAAATACGATCCTAAAGACGTGAAGCCTTCAGACATGGAAGTTAAGTTGGGATCCCCATCACACATGACTTCAATTCAAAAAGAGGCCCAATATTACAAGTTCTTGAAGCTTTTCCACACGGAAAAAAGCCAAAGAAGCGTAATGCAGCAATTGCAAGCCCCGATTGATTTCACTCCGAGTGGCATTAGAAATTGGTGGGCCCGGAAGAAAGACGAACATGAAATCATATCTCAGTCTTATCTACCGCAGAGAAATCAAATGTTAGGCAATGAATTGGCCGCGGCTCATTTTATAGTGCATCGTGGAGGGGCAGTAAAATTCTACAACGACGCTGGTTGGATAAAAGCCGATGAAAATAATAATTACGTTCTTCCGAGGCATTTTCAAGACGATAGAATCCTTGAAGCCATAGATTGCACCAACATGAAACTAATGTACGAAGGATTAGTTAATTTAGCTGATTTACAGGACGTTAAATGGTTGAGTTTGAACGGTTGTGAAAATATTGACGATTGGTGTTTAGATAGAATTAGCAATTTATTTAGCCATAGTTTAATTTATTTAGATCTAAGAAATTGTACTAATATTACATCGAGAGGACTCGCCACTTTGTATAGACTAGATCATTTGAAAACACTGTACTTAGACGATTTCTACAAATCTACAATATTCGAATTGACTTGCTTACTGTTGCAAGAAGCTAAGCCGGATTTGGAAATTACCAGTGATCCTGTAAACTTTGAAATCAAATAAATATTTATTGAATTGTTACTTTTTGAATTTTATTAATAACAGCAAAATATTCATTTATAAAGCAGAGATATTTAATACAAAATTACAGTTACAAGTTACATCACAGAACCATGGGACGTAAATTTTTTGTCACAAAATGGTTAGCGACATCTACTGATATAGGTGAGAACTAAACCAAAATTGTATAAAGATAGATTCGTTATGTTAACGGATTGTTTAGCTGTTGTATTCCAGGTGATGAAGTAAGAATATGTTCAAAAAATGTTAATATATTACATTTGTTAAGAAAATGTATTTTTTATTTGCTTTTACATACTCATTTTTGCTAGTTTTGTTTTAGTACTTTCTAATTTTTGTAAGTACTTATCTAACTTAAGGGTACGTGGTAAATTCAACTTGGTACAAACCAAGGGTTCATTCCATTCAAATTAGTACCTGAAGATAAAATTCTATGAGAAATAAATATTGCAAATTTATGAACCTATAAATCCAGGGTAAGGAAATAAGGGTAAGTCACCCTTCAAAACACCTGTATGTATAAAAATGTAATTCAAATGATAAGGCCGCCATCAGAAGTATTTGAAACTTACTGTGGAAAAACATGATAGAATTGGTTTATGGTTGGTTTTCTTTTTCCTTTATAAGTATCTAATAGAAGTTGTCTTTATCGCATTCATAGCCATTTTTTAAGATATTTTATGCATATTTCTAAAATGAGATACTCCAAGAATCACATAGTACTATAATTATCAACTAAAAATGTAGAAAAAAACAAATCAAACATAGATATATTAATAATAATAATAATCATTAGAACGAGTACTGAAAGTACGTGCAATCGTCTATCTTATCCTATCAGCTTGCTGTCTCCAGTGATGGGGACCGGCAGGTTAGGTGAGCAACAGGTGATTGTCAGTTACCGGTAAACAGTTGTTGAGTGTAGTACTACTACGCCAAGCTGGTATTTTTGTTGTTTTCACTTTTACGATATACGAAACGGCAAAAGCGATGCGGCATGCATCGCACTCGAAATCGGATCAAAGGTGAATTTTCGCAATAAATTTTTCGATCGTTTTTAATTAGTAACCGGTGTCCACTGAGGAGGTTCTTGTATGCGTCGACGGTCTAAAGGTCGTTAGAATGCAAGTTTAATGTTACGACTTTTATTAGTTTACGTTTTATGTGCACGAATAAAATCGGATCCTCGTTATTTGTTCTGTGTGAATTTTGCTTGGAAATGTGTGGAATCTACCTTGCTTGGAATTGGATTTAAATGCTCGACCGGGGATACAATCCAGGAGGCAAAGGTAAAAAATGTGTTTAAAAATTTCTATTGTATTTCATTCCCTCAACCTCAATTGGTGGATCAAGAATAAATCAAAAAATCGCTGCATTATTCGATTTTGAAAATATTAAGTCAATATAAGCTAAATATTTTATTAATTGTAATTGTACGAAATAATGTCAATGTAGAATTGCTAATTCAAATAACTAATTAATTTTGTTTATAATTTGTGACCCAAATATGGAGCTTGGTACATATTATTTTTATTGAAAATATACTTGAGTAAATACTTATATCCAATATCGAACTAAAATTTGAACCAATTTATTTTTTATTTCAATTTTAAAAAATTCTCCATTTTTTATAACCCAATTTATATTCACAAAATTATCGGTCTATTAAATTATATAAAGAATTATTTATGAACACCTTTCTCCTCAGACAAGTTTCTATTAGTAATCTTTTATCCGTTTTTTATAAATTACGAGATGAAGGTTGTTTTCGTTTTCAATTATGTATTCAGATTATATTCCTATCTGTTGATGACTAAGCCATTAGTTAAGATCAAGAATTAATAATACAAGAGTTTATTACAATTCAGATTTTATAACTTACATTTGCACTACTATTTAGGAAGAACAAATTTGCGTCTATTATACTGTTGTTGATGCTCCCTCATTGTTATTTCAGAATATTTAAAAATACTCTCATTGTTACTATTGTCAGTCTTAAAAGAGTAACCAATTCGTCTCGTGCATTAAAGTATGAACAATTCCGAACAATTACATGGTTGATAATTCTCTATTTCTTGTTTATTCGGTTCGATTTTTTTCTTGTCCTTGATCATTTTCAACTGCTTAAAAATTTGAGTCATGATTTAAATAAATTCCTGTCGAAATTAGCCACCTAAACGAATTGAGCACTGCGTATTAGATAAGTAGATAATACATTGGTGTTTTATTTAAAATTAGCAAATATCATCAAAATAATCTATAAAGTTCTTGAAAATACCCCTGGTTTTATTTTCTCTTTTAATTTCGATAACTTGGCTAGCCGACCAAGTGGATTGCGGTGGTAGATACACTTTGAAGTTACCTATATCAGTGCCTACGAAACCTGTCCATTCGTCGTCATCTAATTGATTAGGTATGTTGATAAGGTATCCCGCGGTCCATATGGAAAGGTCTGGTAAATTATTCTTCGTAAAATGTATTATTTTGTCGTCGAGTTTGGAAACATATTGGAACTCTTTGCCACTATTGTAAACCACCATATCAATGGGAAGTGCTAAGTCAAATGAATCAGTATTAATCGTCTTAAAGGGAAGATCTACGGAGCTATCTACACGATCGATATACTGCAAGTTCTTCAGACCATTCACCGAAACTTTGTTACAGTTCTTCACTTTTAAGTGGTAATGGAGAGCAATTTGGAAATTAAGGGTTTCGTTCTTGCTGGGATTTATCACTACCAGTTGTAATTCCAACGATCTTTCTTTTAGGATTATCTTCAAGATCAGTTCAAAATCGTAGTTCCAGTTCGATTTTGTAAAACAATTAGATTTTAAGATTAATTCTAAATGCACATCACCATAATGGTCAGTTCTCGGTCCGTTTCTCACACTCCATATTACATCCCTGCCAAAACCGTGGTTTCTGCCAAAGGACCATTCTTGGAAATGCGGAAAAACTATCGTTATGCCGCCTCTATATTTATCGTAATCGTCCAAGTGCGATAATCGGCTGAAAAATAGCTGCTCCTCTTCTTCGATCCTCCACGAAATGATAGATGCACCTTTTAGGATGACATTACACGTTGTGTAACCTCCCCTATCCATCCTTATTACTCTAGGATCATCGTTACTTAAAGGATGGTGTTTTTGCATATTGGGAAAAAATGTAGCAGCAAATATAATGATACAAACAACTTACAAATAGTCAAAAATATGACAATGTCTTTTCAAATGTCACATTTTAATTAAAATCAATTTTTGTACTAGTACAAATTTTGTGATACCTGTATTGAAGAAATTCAAGCGTGATTGACGAATGAAATTTGCGATTGTATAAATGATTTAGTCTCTAATTGAGGTTATTATAGTTTATTTAAAATTAACAAATATCGTCAAAATAATCTATGAAATTCTTCATTATACCGCGTGTTTGATTTTCCTTTTTTATTTCTATATTTTGAGAAGCCAACCAAGTAGATTGCGGGGCTAAATACACTTTGGATAAGTTACCAATGTCAGTGCCTATGAAACTTGTTAATTCATCTGCATCAAATTCTCGAGGATTAGGTAGATTCCGACGAAGTCCTGTGGACCATATGGAAAAGTCTGGCATATTCGAAGTTTTCGTAATGCCTATTATTTTATCATCGCCTTTTGAAATGAATTGCAAGGCATTGCCTGTATTATAAATTACTACATCAATGGGCGTCGCTAATTGGAACTTGTCGTTATAAAACGTCTTAAAAGGGAGTTCCATAGAACTATCTAAGAAATCCCTATACATCAAGTTCTTGACACCAGCTACAGCCACTTTGTTGGAGTCCTTCACTTTAATATGGTAGTGGAAAGCAATTTGAAAATAAAATGTTTCGTGTTTACTCAGATTTAAAACGAGAAGTTTCAGATCCAACGATCTTTCTTTTAGGATTATTCTATATTGAAGATCAAAATCGTAGTTCCAGTTTGACTTTGTGAAGCAATTAGACTTTAAGGACAATTCTAAATGCACATCGCCATATTGGTCAGTTTTCGGACCGTCTTTCACACTCCATATTAGATCCCTGGCAAAACCGTGGTTTCTACCAAACGACCAATCTTCAAAATGCGGGAAAACTATCGTTATACCTCCTCTGTATTTATGGTAGTCGTCCAAGCGTGTACGCCGACTCAAAAATAGCTGTTCTTCATCTTCAATTCTCCACGAAGTGATAGAAGCACCCTTTAGGATGATGTTACAAGTAGTATAACCTCCCCTATCCAACCTTATTACTCTGGGGTATTCATTACTCAATGGGTGATGCTTCTGCATAACTAAAAAACATACGTGTGCAGAAAGCGTGTTTACAAAAAAAAGTGTCAATAACAATACAAATGTCATCATTTTTTGACACAGAATTAATTGTGGTCTTTCATTATTGCCGTATTGATACACCTTTATTCTTCTTTATTGTACCATATTATTGCGTGAATGAAGCGAAAGATTTATGAGTATTTTTTACTATATGAATCACTCTAACTGCATTTTGTGGATGCAAAACAAATAACAACAATTGTTCTGATTGACTGCCGAGCGAATAAAAAAATATGCCCAGACTTTTGTTTGCATATCATTATGAACAATCCAAACAGGAAAACCGTCAAAAACAAGATATACTAATCACATCCAATTAAAGCATCATAATTTTGGAAAATGAATCTCATTTAAATATTTACATAATTCGAAAAATTAGCATTAGGAATTTTAGTTTATTAGTGTAATAACAATATCGCATTAAAACAAAGTTATCTAATAAAATCAGAGGTTTCAAATTTCGAATAAACCAGTTTATTGATTTTCTCACACACCAAACTCGAATTTAATTGATACGCTCGAACGATATCGTATATCTCTATCGAAATCGAAAGAATGTGTTGTATCATCAAGTACAAGAATGTGATTAAACATTTGCACTTTCGTTATGTTTAGGTCACTGTAAGGTCGCATCCCATTCAAGAGGATGGATTTTGTGGAAAATAGAAACGAATTAAGTAACGATTATTTATTGTTCTCGGTCCGATGTAATATGAAATAGACAATTACCGTGTTTGCCGTGACGCAATGATTCTGTAAAATTACCTTTCGTATAACAAATTAGGAGGGTAATTTATTTAGTTTTCCTATAAACTATTGTAAACGAAATTAATTCCGCGTTTATAGGGTTCAATACACCGTGCCCGTTTAGAATTCCGATTCGATCCTTCGATAGCCGATATCGCCGAGGATCTGAACGAGGAGACGCTCTCAAACCGAAGTAAATCATCCCGTATGAACGTGAATTTTTTCACCTTCTGACACTTTATTGTCCGGATAAAGTAGTGACAGTTACATAAACTGCTCCAATATGCATTATGTATTCCGGAGCGGCGTATGAACTTGATAAATCTCGACGTGTATGTTGTATATTTAAATCGAATTACAAGACATTAATCCGTTAAAGAGAAGACACTTCGACTGACATTCAATAAAAAAAAGCGTTTGTTATAATTCAAGAGAAGAAATGCATTTAAAAATTCATAAACTCAACCGTATAGTGAATTATTTCTTCATTTTATGGGTAGGTCACGGAAACTCGACCAATAGGTTTAATTTAAATGGGCTTTTAAAGACTTTCGCAAGCGTACTGACGATATCAATAACCGTATCTCTTATCAGTGAAAAAGTAGATGGCCGCAAATGTAACCGAGATCGGATCGGTCGAAATGAAATACGATCCGAGTTCCAGTGTTTGTTTTAATGCCGCAATCACTTTCACAAAAATTGCGACTCAACCTGTTGTCTGAAAGTATTGGCCACGCTCCAACGGCCACAATATCAAAATATCGAAATATAAACGGCGGACTCGCTAATTACCAACCGGCAGTCGGTATAATTGGATCGAGTCAAGCGTACTGAATCTGAATTTGCTAATTTATCTAATCTTTACATCAAACAACATAAATTTGGTAGCGATTTTTTTACCTAAATCGCGAAAAGTTGTTGAACTTGCTTGAGAAAACCATTTTAAACGGATGTTACTCGCGTTTATTCAATGAGTCGCTTAGCTGAAGCCGTCTCTGTAAAATTAGTTACACTCTTTACAAATAATTGTTCGATTTTTGTAATAACTATTAGCGGCTTATATTGATAATTAAAACAGATATAGTAACGTACCTATTACAAACCTAGCAATTTAGCTGATTATTTCCTCCCAAGGAAATATTTCAATTGGTTAAATTAAACAGATAAGAATTAAGAACATTAATTTAAAATATAATACATAAACACCGTTAGCTATTTAGATACCAAGGAAATTCAATTAGAAGCGAATAAACTCTTGCAGTTGTTTGATGTGGAAATTACACAGGAATTATATTCGAACTCTTCTGTTCATTTAGACTATTTATAAATATTGGAGAAATGTATCTAATACAATTGTTTATTAATTGTGTAATGTTTTTTTTGTCATATCTCGATAATTAATGATATGAAACAGTACAATCAGTAATGATAAGATCATTCAATAAACGTGATGAATAAATATAACATGAATCAAATTATTTTTGTTATTTACAAATATATATTTTTGTTATTTACTCTGCCTTATAAAACTGCCATTTGATCACAAAAGTTGTACTTCCTCTCTCTGTATAAATCTGATATCATTATTCTTTTATGTTAAACTAATTGCAATAGCGCAAAATAGCATAAATCATCGACTGTTTTTAATTTCAGCATACTAAGTTGAAGATAAGCAAGTAGAACTGAAAACAATATTTGTATAACGGCTTAATAGAGTATTATATCAGCTGAAAATTCTCAGTATTCATCAAACGTGCATTTTTTATCTGAAAGAAATTCTCATAAAATTATATAAGATAGGTGTATCCAGTCGAAACATTAATCAAGTCGTTACTGGTTGATGAAATTAGCTTGCAGATTTTTGCTGGCAAAAATTCTAATGGTGAAGATTTTAAAGTTCTTAAGATTAATAACGAATAACAAACTTGGTATTTAAACAAGGATGGTAATCTTCTGTAATACGAAGCACGCTTTAAAAAATGATCACAATACTGCCTATATTATACCACCCACAGAAAGTTGTGTGGATTTCTAGATGAACAAATGCTAGTCCTGAAACAAGAACTAAGTTCAACAGCCTCAAACACCTCTCATATCGAGTTTTGTATCAACCAAGTCCATAAATGACAATTTTATGAACGCAATTCAGTTATTATCAAGTACCCGGGGATGCCTATTAGTGTCGATTTAAAAGGTAAGATAAACGTAGCACGAGTCAAACAAATTAAGATAAATAACGAAGCGAATTATTTACCGTATCAAACGAAATATTGTTGAACCTTCATTACGAATCGCTTAATAGATAGTAAAAACAAAGTTCACGATTTCTTTGAACGTTGGTAAGTGCGGAACTGCATCGGCTTTGAAACGTTTCAATCATTCGAAGAATAATGCCGAAATGTACCGTTAATGATTAGCTCTTTTGTGTAAATGAACAGTTAAAAGGTAAAAGCAAATTTAACTACGATTACATTCGAAACCGAAATTCTCGGGGCCAGTACATTATCTAATTTTTAAAATTGTTCTAACAGTGATCCAGCAATCGATCCAAACTGGTCTGCGGTCGGATATTTATTTACAGCAACGGACTCGCTTTTAGGTACCCACCTAAAATAATACCATTTCATGAATATTTAACTAATAACAGGGTAAAACGGAAATGATGTTGTATACACGTTTCCCCGTAATATATCAACCACCTGAGTGCAAGAGACCACATCGGTCATGCGACTTTATCTGACTACTGAACTGGCTAAAAGAGGTACTAAAGGAACAGAAAATCATTAAGTTTACTAACAAATTACCAAACAATCTTTTTAATTAATTGCGTTAATCGATGAAATTTTCTTGTCGCAGGTGTTATAATTGAATTATTCAAAACACTCTCCAAGTAGTAATTCTATTATTATATCGCGTTACCCGGTAGTATCGTTTAAAAAATTCCAATATGTCAGCTGTATTTAACGTTCCGAGAACTTATCAATGGAATAGGTTCGAGCGATATAAAAATATTCATTTACATTGTTTAATGAATTAGTGGAATTAAAAAGCACCCACCAGTGAATTCTTGAATAGCAAAGTGATCTGAAAAAACGCGTCCAGCCACCCATTAGACCTTGTGCCGAATCCAAATAAGTAAAGAGCTTTGATTGTCGATTCTTCGAGCTGTAATTATCGGCGAAATTGACAGCGCATTTCCAACTTCGGTCGTCGATCGATAGTTGCTAAAAATTTAGTACGAGGATCCTTCGATTCTGGCTTTTAATTGCTTTCTGCAGGTTCGAATTATTATAATTGGCGGTTATAGAAGGATGCGTCTAATTAAATTGTTGGTTAACTTTATTTAACGGTAGAAACGGAATATTCAATTAAACTACTAGAAGAACTAATAATTGATTAATTAATGAATTAAATTGCAAATAAGATGCGGCAGGATAAGTAAAGTGTGGGTTGTCGTTTTATAGTTTTACGTAATAAACTCCCTCTCAAAAAAATTAATTTAGTCTGAAAGTTATGGTGATTTGATTAAATTTTATGCTACAAAATTAGTTTTAATGTTATTATTTACGATTCTTCGATCTGTCTCCTCATTTAGGAATCAGATCATTTTTATACTCCCACTTTTTTCCGCCTTTACTTTCTAAAATCACTTGTGAGCGATGAATTAATTTAGTTATGCAAATCGAATTTGTTTACATAATGGCAATTTTTAGCACCGAGTGCGCATTGTAACAATATTGTTTATTTTTAAGCCTTAACAACGACCTCAAAGAGTCGAGATTGAGCAGGAAAAACACAAATAGAATGTACAAGGAAACGAAGAGTTATTGTATAAAAGAGCCGTAATAATCTATTTGTTTTAAATCGAATTTGCAGAGCGCTCTCTCAAGAAAGCCGAGCCGAGTTTGTTTTATTGGCGTTCTCCTAATTTCTTATTTTATTTGTCAACAGTTTGAAATCTATTAGGATCGTGATGCATCGATGCATTAAGTTGCTTGCTTTTGTGCGGTTCACCAGATTTTTTTGTTTTGTCATTTTTTTCGACGAAACAATGACCTATATAATTAGTAATGTTGTTCGTGACTGGCTAAAAATTTTGCTATAAATTTCACTTCATTCTAGCGTTAACGGTACGTTTGTGTAAAATTTTTAAAACGTTATGTAAATAAAATATTTATACCAGTTTTACAGTTAAATTAGTGCATATTGCATTTAATATCAATAGAATGAGTTATCTTGTAACAATTGT